CCTCAATTACTCGGTCCTCATGCCTATTGTTCCCTACAAGTTGCAAAAGAAAGATATTATTATTATTTAATCGAGTACCTCCCATTGTTTTTGACATTGTGCCCTTTTCACGCAGGCACGACTACCCGCAAATCCCTTAGCCATGCCCCATTCTGACTGTAGACGCATGATCATGCAAGCCGGCATGCTACCCACAATTTGGGAATAAACATTATCATTATCATTATCATTATCGGGAATACTTGCGGTGTCGGTAAAGACAAGGTACGGCGTGGCTAAGGTGGAGCCTCCTGTTAATACCCAACAGTTTGGAGGGTGTCGTGATTAACGTTTATCTGGACAACGACGCGACCCAGACAACCAGCGACACCGCTAACGAGACTTTGAATGTAGCAGTACATTCATACGTGATCGGGCCCGCTGCAAACCGTGTATCCAGCTAAAGACACTGCAAGATCGTAGGTAAGCGGCTTCGGGCGAAGTTTGAAATATTGGCCACGGTGGTCTCAGAATGTGTTGATCTCGAATTTCGTGATGCGAACGCATGCTCGCGTTAATGGATAGCTTAACCCACGCCAAGGACGAAGGACTCATATCGGATGCCATATTTTTCGACTTCTCAAAAGCATTCATTTAGGTCCCATACGTCCTGCTGCTCCACAAACTCGAGTCTTACGTGATTCAAGGAAAACTCCTTCGCTGGATCAAGGCGTTCCTATCAGACAGATCATTCCAAGTGAGAATAGACTCGACCTATTCCTCTCCGGCGCCGGTCTCCATTGGAGTTCCTCGAGGCTCCGCCCTGGGACCACTCCTGTTTCTGATCTACGTCAACCACCTCCCAGATGTTTTTGCGAGTCCATGTCTATCTTTAGCGGACAACTTGAAATCCTGGAATTCCAATGCCAGTGCCCTCCAAATGGATTTGGACGCTGCAAAGCAGTGGTCGTTGGACTGGCACCTTCCTCTGAATGATGAAAAGTGCGTCCATATGTCGTTTGGAGGGGATTCAGCGAATGCCTTTGTTATGCATGGTGAAAAGGGACCAGAAAACATCATGAGGATAGATGCCATAAAGGATTTGGGCATCTGGGTCTCCTCAAACTTGTCCTTCGCACTACACCATGAGAAATCGGCCCAAAAGGCATTCGCCGTTTTACGGATGATCCGACGTACCTTCTCCCGTATTACGGGAGACGTCAGACCGCTCCTGGAGTACGCCAACAAAGTTGTCTACTCAGGACGTACGAAAGACGTTACCCTCATTGAGCGTGTCCAGCGGGCCGCCACGAGAATAGTTGCCGGCCTCAAGTCCGTGGACTACGAAACGCGTCTCGCGACGCTTGATCTATTTCCCCTGGAGTACCGTCGCCTCCAAGGGGACCTAATTCTTACCTACGCCCTGTTTGAACAAAGCTTGACAAACAGGTTTTTTACCGTTGACCCAGCAAACACCCGGCGGGAATTAATTTATGCGAATCCTCGCACTGGCCAGCATACTGCCCCGCGCTGAGAACATAAAGAGCAGTGCTACACCTTTTTTCCACTTGTGCCTTTCAGGTGAACGACAGCCACTGACTGACATGAACAAAAGCGACTCGGGAAACTTGGGCAAAAGCCTCGATCCTGTGTATCAATCCTTGAATCCGTGAAATCCTAATAGTGATAGGGACCATCATTATGGTGTCCTTGCTTCAACCCTGTATTCTGACTCGTTCAGTGAAGTTATGAAATTTGGATGTGATGGTTATGATGCAGCACCTACACCGTATCTGCTAGAAAACTCCTGTTAGTAACTGTTTTTATTTAAATGCGCTAAAACCGAGAAGTAGCTATTCAAGGCTGTTCAACGACAAAGCGGAAACATGAAGGTCGCTAGGGGCTTCCATCGTGTCCTATCAAAAAATTTAAAGGCTAGATGTTTTACTACCTATGACGATGCCTTCAAAGCTTCGATAAACTGGCCCCAGGAATTTTGGTCTGCGGAAGCGGAGAAGATCTCTTGGTTCAAAAAGTGGGATCGAGTGTTAACTGATAAGGATAGGCCGGATGCAAAATGGTAGTCGTCTGTTAAACCGCTAATCGCTTTCTAGGTTTTCCGGAGGAGAGCTGAACACGTGCTACAACTGTCTGGATGTCCATTCGGCAAATGGATATGGGAATCATACAGCAGTAATTTTCGATAGCCCTGTAACCCAGTCTCGATCAACCCTGACTTACGATGATCTCCTGAGGAAGGTGCGTTTTCAGCAGACTTGTGAATAGTTCCCTCAAATACAAGTGGCATGTCATGTCGCGTATGTTATGCTGAGGTTGATATCAACCCTCGTCTCCCCCCATCTCGAAAATGACCTGCATGTTAATTTCTTAGTAGCAAATATATTCAAACCAATGAATGCTCAATGGGGAAGCAACGAGTAAGCTCTGTGAGCAAAAGGTTTTACTTTACAGCAACGATACGTAACTGATTAATGACCAACTAACTGGGGAAAGCTATACTGATGAGCAACATACCCTGAGTGCTTAGAATCGATCAAATGGACTAGGCGAGGCCCAGGGAGTGCTAGCTGATTGTGCACAGGATATGTTTACGGGAGGATTAACGGTAAAGTTAGAGGATGATAAATATCATTTTCATGTCCAGGGAGTGTAGCTGATTGTGCACAGGATATGTTTACGGGAGGATTAACGGTAAAGTTAGAGGATGATAAATATCATTTTCATGTGCAACAGTAGCAGACTGGGTAATGTTTATGGAAGAATGGAGCGGTATGGAAGGTGACAGTTGAATTGGTGTGCACTAAGAAGGTAGTTAGCAGCGGTAGGCAAGCATGCATGTTATGTAACAAAAGCAGTTCTATAAAAATCTGGTTTAGGGTTGGCTTAAACTGGATTAGTCGTAGTGTTCTTGGTATATGCTTCATGAATCACGGAATCACATTTGACCATCAAGATTAAGACCGACTACGCTTATAAACCTTCCCTGAGTTTGTGATTTTGTGGCGGCGGTAATTAGTCTTACTGGTGAGGCTGAACACTGTGGTACAAGAACCGTCCTGGAAGCCTCAAAAGGCGTAAATTTAGTAGCCGCCAAAATGTGTATTTTGGGAGAAAAATGTCAAACTGAGATGGTTTTCTAATGCAGGACAGGTCGAGAAGGTTCGGACCAACTCTAATTGCCCTTTGCTGCATATTCTGGAAGATTGGTTTGCCGCCTTTAAGTCAACATTGAATTCATCTGATGTGGGTGAAGTATAAGGTTAAGAAGCAGCAACGGATAGGAGTGACCACCCACACGGACTTTGATCTGTAGCACGTATGTGAAAACGTAAGTTCGGCAGAGATCCGCACATCCTTATCTTGGTAGATTTGTACAGAAAGAGTCGAGATGGGATCTAGTTAGTTTGAAAGTATGAATATCATTGATACTTATACTGGCTTGAAATTCGCTTTACAAATCAATTCGATGGTGCATAATATGAAAACTGCACTGAAAATAGCAAGCAACAGCAAGTTGAAAGCCGAAGTCTTTCTTGTATTGACGAATAATAAAGTACCGTGGTGTTGGTGACGCGACATGATACGCACATGCGCAGTCCAAAGCGCCCTCATTTTCAGCGCCATCGATGTCATTGTGGTAAATCAATGACTACTGTTCTGTGACCTACCACTCAAATGACTCGAGAGATTTATTAACACTAGAGTTGTGTCTTGTTTGGTCTGTGACGTTGGCCCGATCCGCTCCTGAGCTCATCATGCAGCTCGCGTTATCATTTAATTAACATGGGCTCTTGTCATCTAGGAGAACTTGGTTATTATTGCTCTCCAACAGTCTTTCTTAAACTCTTCTGGTCGAGCCTGCTTTCTTGATGGGCGGGCTGACCAGTGATAGCCAAGGCGGCTATGTATAGCAGCAAGCAAATCTGGAGAGCTAAACTGAATAATGAAGGAACTACAAACTTTGGGTCAACACTAGTGATTGTGAGCCGAGAGTGAGAGCGGAATTCCAAAAGAAAGCGTACATATTAGTGATCCGAGATTCGTTAAACTGGACGTGCACATAAAAATGTGTTTATAGAACAACAAAAACAAGTTAAGGAGCCGTTTACAATCGTATCGCAGACGGAGTACCTTATCTTATACTGTTTATTGGGCTTTATAAATACTTTTTCGCGAGAAGAGGTATCGTAAAGCGGACCTCAAAGTGGTTAAACAACGACTTTGTTCTTAGCCTCCACTTTCTATAGGCAGAAGTGACATACGAGGGTGTACAACGTAAGGCTAAAATTGCAGCTGAAAGATAAGTAGCCTTAGTTTGTCGATTGTTAAGGACAGAAAGCATGGACTTGATCAACTTTTGGCGGTTTTAGTCCAGACTGACAAAGCACTCAAATATCTATAGACCAGTGGTTCCTATCAGTCGGCACTCAGGCTGTACTGGATACCAAAGCTTGGCCATTCTGCACAAAAATGAGCTCTACATCAGCCCCGTACAAAACTTAAGGAAAGCTATATCGATTGCCCAAACTCCATGTAAAGTTATAAAAAACGTTGCTCTCCAAGTAGCCCTTCCATTTCAGTGAAAGATCATTGCTCAACGCCCAGAAACAGAACGCTTCAGGTTTTACATATAAGATTTACTTACGTCAATAAGAAGTGGCTGTCTCTGAACAGTCACTAGGAATAGTAAGGCATTTATGCTTACACCCACAAAGTTCTGAGAGCTGAAGTTCACATAGTCACGTACAAGAGCCTGGAATTTTGGATATCAATATCTCTCATATATCCCTGCCATGTTTTTTCCTTTTTAGAAACCGTCACGACTGGTATAAAATTAACTGATTAGCCTTCACTCTAAAAGGATCATCTCTTAATCCTAGTTTGTAATAAATGTGCTTTTCATTTGTATTCACCGCCATTTCCTGAACTATGTGTGAAGACAGGCTTAGCGTGCGACTTCAGTAGTTAATTCTCATAACTACCCGATTAATTTTCATACTGTGGGACATAACAAGCTAAGCACAAAGAATCTCACCATACTAGAAGCGAGTATCTTAAAAAAGACTGCCACCAATAAGCAACTAATACCATACATGCACGAATTGACGATATATTTATATAAAGATAGGGTTATTTGCATGGAAGGTCTTGACTCGTGTCTTCACCTAAGCCCGAACTCTGGAATGGCATAAGTACTAAAATGGGTCAGACGATTTTCAACTAAGTTGTTAATGTTGCACTCCTGCACGCATTTTTGGACTGACTGTCACTCATGAAAGTGCCAGCGGGAACCAGGTGAGATGTGTTCAGAGTATCACAATTCGGAGCTGAAAAAGCAGAGCCTAGAGCACTGTCAAAGAGCCGTCTGAAGAGGCACATATGAATGGGGTGTATTATAGGCTAAATTTAATCAGACATCCTGATATTGCTTTCAATAATTGTGGTATGTTGCTTGAAAAACCTGGTTTTCTCCGATAGCTGTATTCCTCAGGCTTCCTGTGACTGGTTTTGTAGACGAGTATAAAGACACAAAATGAAAACGGTGTTTACTNAGACGAGTATAAAGACACAAAATGAAAACAGTGTTTTTCTGAGTTTGTAAATATGGTCGAATTGATAAAAGTGAAAATATGCTGAAAAGTTAATAGATGAAAGAAGCTAGATTGTTACTGGACATAAAAACTGAACCCGATCAATGGTTCCACAATTAAAAACTCTACTGATTAAAATCACTCCCGGTGACAAGGCCAAGCCAAATTGTAGGTAAAAAATTTTAGGCAATAAAATTCAGGTGGACAGTCTTGCGTTCTCATTGCAGAACACTTCAGTCGCAATCTTATTTACAAAGCATATTATAAAGAATATATAGGATCTTTGCAATCCATTGTAATTACTGCATGAGCCAGGTAAGTTTCAATTCTATTGTGTAACACCTTCTCTAAGAAATTAAGGGGTGTATGTAGCTTATAAGTTGGCAGCTTTTGCCACTGTCCCATCTCCAAAATAATGGTTCTCCGATGCAGACGCATCCATCAACTCGTCCATCTGTAGGGTAGTTCCTTTAGCTTTTAACTCTGTTTCATTGGAGAATTGATACTAAGTGCATGCTCTCCTTTGGTTGAGCCATCAATCATTGTTGACCTTTTGTTGCTACTCTACGGGTAAAAAATGGTGCCTGTAATTCACCTTCAAACCGGTTTAACCACTGGATATTCTTGGTTCTACTTAGTTAAGCACCTAATCTCCATTTTAACTTTACACATGTTGAAAAACACTCTTGTGGACAACTTTCGGCTGTAATACAACCACGCATACATGGTTTTGTCCCAGAAAGCAAGTTCCTATCCCTAGTAATATAAGTTGTAGACATCGGTTGGTCCCAGCGATTTTTCTTGTCACCCTAAAATAATTGCTATTTTTCAATGAATAGATAGCCACAACAGATATCTGATTAGTCAAATATGGTTCTGCGGACGCAGTACGGGATCGTTCTAGTCCCAGCTACTTTGATTCTTTCATCAATGAAAATAGGAAAGGTGGATCAATCTTGTCTTGAGAGATATGGCCTAGCAACCCCAACCAATAATCAATGGAGGAGCGGTACAACTGCGCAAAGTAGCTGCCAAAAACGTGATTCTGTCATGTTCGCTCTTTATGATATTCATTACGTTAGTTATTGCCACACTTTATTATCCGCCGAAGCAACGGCATCCTGGAAAAGCAAATGAGCAGTCTTGCCATTTTGTTTAGATAAAATGTGGAATAAGACTACAATTTCGACCCAAGGTTCCATTGGAGCTAATGTAGATCCAGTTTACTTTCGACGTAACCAGTTTATAATCA